TTTATATTAAAAAATTTATTAATAGAGTACTATTTATTATAATTTTTGAGAGAAATTAATCACAACTCAGTTCACGTCTAGAATAATGTGAATATCCTTTAATTTGTAAAAGATTTGCATACATTTTATAATTATTTAAATAAATATGACATTAATTAAAGTTAATTATCAAAATTAATATTAATTAACTACTTTATTTAAGTTAATACATTTAAAAATGTTAGTAATAAACACAAAACACTGATTCTCTATCAATCACTGCAAAAAGTCTTTGAACAATCACTTCATTAATCAAAGGTAACAATAGTAACAATTTTCTTACTTTATTAGCTCAACACTTAAGCGGTCGTTAAAATTAGTTGAAGTGAGTTCACAAATATTGTGTTAAATTAAATTAAACTGTAGATTCATTTAACATTTATGAGTTTATTTCACTGCATGTTTGTTGATATGTTTGAAAAGTTTGGTAGAAATCAGAAAAAATTTTTGCAATTAAAAGGAATTCAAATCATTTTAAAAAAGTCGTTGCGTTAAATAATGCGAGAATTCCTTAATTAGTCATAAAATCACAGCTCAGACCACAAAACAAGACTGAAGACAATGGTATCGCAAACTATAACATGGTTTTTGAGACCAAAATAGCTTCACAACAACTTTACTCTCCATTTCCTGTACTAAACACATACAGACGACGAACCCATATATCACTCATTGCTTTCAAATTTCTTTTATGTTTAGCTCTTGAGATAAGTTTGAAAAATAATACAAAAACTTTTAACTTATTGCCAACGATTTACACACATTATATGTTCTGAATTTTAATAATTAATTAAAATAAATATTATCTATTTATAACAAAAACATAATTCAATTAAAATTTATTACAATAAAACATATTAATACTTACAGAATAAGAAAATATTTTACAAAAAAAGTTTTAATTATATAGCGGTTAATACAAGTGCTATAATAAATAACAATCTGATTTTGTTGTTGGAAAATATGTTTCAAATTAGTGAATAGATTGATGAATTGGTTTGAGACTAGACTCGGCTCTCATTTACTTAATATCATTTCATTCATTGAATTTCGAGAAAAACTTATTTTTTTATTTTGATTACACAAAGAACTTATATTCAAGAATAGAGTGACAAAAGTTTTTTAAATAATGATTTAAAATTAGCACAACAAGTAAAATGAGCCAAACATTACATCTAACTGTTCCTACAAAATACAATCGAGAAGAGAATAGCAATAGGAATGTGATTGCGTCGAGAGAGAGAGAGAGAGAGAGAGAGAGAGAGAGAGAGACTTTTCTTTCGCTTCGAAACGCTTCCAATAATATTTAGTCTTTAAATCAATTTATTTTCCTGTTTTCTATCATTTTTCAAACAAATACTGTATCGAAAACATATTCAAAAGGCTTTGCATTAATCTTTATAAGTAGTGACACAACCGATAGACGAAAAGTAATTAATTGTTTTGTAAATTCCAATCAAACATGAAAGAGAGAGAGAGAGAGAGAGAGAGAGAGACTTTTCTTTCGCTTCGAAACGCTTCCAATAATATTTAGTCTTTAAATCAATTTATTTTCCTGTTTTCTATCATTTTTCAAACAAATACTGTAATTATAATGAAAAGACAAATACAATACTAAATGTATGGCGAAATAGTGGATGCATTCCTTCGCCTAAAAGAGGATATTTTTATATTTTAAAAAATATATAATCATTTCTGTTGGACACAAAAATATGGACAGCAATTGTGTGCAACAACTTTCATATGACTTATATTGGGATTCATTTTAAATTCCATAAAAGTTTTTTGTAAACAGCTGTCTGTGAGTGAGAGGGGGAACAGTAGGAGAACAGTATGTTTAACACTACACGACCACAAAAGCCTAACTTTACAATTGATTTATAAATGCATTAAATGTATGAACAAAAACAAACTAAAATAAAAACAGTAAAAATATATATATATATATTTTTGAGCTCTTTTGGGAAAAATTGGTACGTTTTTTGGTTTTTAAAATCAGAGCCACAAAGAGATTGAAAGTGAATGAGAAGTTAAAATGGGAGAGAATTGAGAGAAACGTCTTATCACTTGTCGTATGGCATCAGGTTTTCAGCTTAACTGAGGATTGCTTTTCAAATTTTGTGCCATAAGACAGAACTTATTGTGTAATCTCTCTCTCTCTCTCTCTCTCTCTCTCTCTCTCTCTCCTCATCGCTATCTCAATCTTTATACACATGACCTCAAACTTAAACTAAAAATAACGCTTAAAAATGAATAACATTTTCAACATTTAGCAGAACTGATACGTTAAGTGAAGAGTATATTGTAGTCTCTATTAGATATACAAACACCAGACCTGAGACTCAAATATATATCAAAATGAGTGGAAATATAACAGTTTTAATGCCTTTTCAATCCCTAATTAGACACTTAGAGTGAGAGATAAACGAAAAGCGTTGCAATTCTTTAACTTTTATTTTGTATCATTTTTTACAATTTTATGACATTTCGTCAACAGTTGCACACAAGAAGTGTGAATCAGAATCTCATTTAAAAACATGCCTTTTATAATACAATCTAAACCAATAGTAGACCAAAAAGTGATAATCGGTTCTCGTTTTAGCGCATAAACAATCAAATGTGTGCTAAAACTGGATTTGTAATGAATGAGAGATCGGTTTCTTATATCATAACAGAATTGATGACACTTTTAGTGTCGAAAACATATTCAAAAGGCTTTGCATTAATCTTTATAAGTAGTGACACAACCGATAGACGAAAAGTAATTAATTGTTTTGTAAATTCCAATCAAACATGAAAGAGAGAGAGAGAGAGAGAGAGAGACTGAGCCAACGCTCTTCAGTACCGATGCCTTACCGCTCATTTACTGACAAATTATCGTAAAATACTCTTATAATATGCTCTATAAAAAGTATTCAATTATAAAATAATTGGTCACAAATACTCGGTTTAATTAGTGACTATTTTTATCGACAAAAAAGTTTTAATGCATTTTTAAGTATTAAAAATATTGAGATTAAAAATTCTGATTCCTTTAAAAACTTTTGCATTTAAAATACATATCAATTTCATTCATTTCCCGTCAAAAAATAGAGACAAAATTAGAGAATTACTGATAATTTCGACTAAACATTGCTCTCACTCTCCCTGTAATTCAATCGCCACTCTCTATGAGATAGCAATCATAATATCGCACAGAATTTGTACACTATTTTCAATAATTCTCTTTATTAAGAAATCGGCACTCAGTTTCATATCAACTATAAAAGTATTAATAGCTTAATGTTAGTGTAAAAACATATAATTGACTATTTATATACAAAACTATATATATATTTTGACTGAAGTGATTGCCAGTTGGGATTAAAACAATAATAAAACAAATACAAAGTGTTAGGGAATGGATGGCAACAGAATCTCCTTCTCGGCTATTATATTGAAAAGAAGTACTATTTTGGAGGGAATAGAGAGTAGTGTTGGCTTTGATGGAGAAGAATGAATGTCCAAATATATGGCTCGACATAACTAAACGAATTGAGTCTCAGTTCATGGGCTGTGAAATACTGTCAACATTTATAGCAAATTAAAGATAATTCAATTATGAGATCGTTTCACAAAATGCTTGATATTTAGATAGAGATTCAGATCTAAATAAAATGTTATCATTTCTGCAAACTATTCGATTGACTTCTAATACTCTATGACTTCTCGTCTCAAACGGCACTAAAACTCTTATTTTTGTGTTTCAAAATCAGTCAGTAATCTAATCAGACTTTAACTGACAAACAGGCGATCAAACCGATCAAACTTTGGCACAAATAGTCTCTCTCTCTCTCTCTCTCTCTCTCTCTCTCTCTCTCTCTTTCGGAAAATTATAAAACCATGACTTGACTGAGGAGTCAAATTAAGTGAAGGAAAACAACCATAAGTTTCGCTATAAATTATGGCAATCAATAAAAACAATTGCCTTAATCGACACAATTGCACATAAGATATAATTTATAACATTATTTTCATATTTAAAGTCAAACTTTAAAATGTTAGCAAAGCTTAAGGAGTGGTCGAATGACATTTGTTTGAAGGCATCACTAGTTTGTCATTTCATATGTAATATTAGAAGAAAGGCTTCACTAAAATCAGATAAAGTGATCTAAAGATGCGGTCTTTGACTGAATATATGACAACTATAGTCATAAATGATGTAATTCTGTCGCAAACCATAGTTATCGTGATTTCATGCATTGATGACTATATGAGTCCTAATTTTGAACCAAAAGTCTCTCGCAATTGAAGACAAACGCATTATATTGTCATTGAATTGACTGAACACTTCTCTCCCCAACTATTGAGTGAATAAACATCACAACTAAAGGCCCAACAAATGCAATATTAGTGAACCCACCACTCATTGCTCCGTTGCTCTCTTCAATCTGATAAAACATGCCATTAGTTAATGAGATCTCTCTCTCTCTCTCTCTCTCTCTCTCTCTTTCATAAAAAATGATATAGTATTTCATAATTTAAGTGAACAGCTCTTTTGGAAAACCTTCAAAATCAATAGATCTGATAAATACACGAAAATTGTTATTCAATTTTAGTTATAATATTTAATTATTTAGATTTGAATGAAAGGCAATTTCATTGAACACAACATTAATCTAGTCATGCATTCAGACATAACTTACTGTCTTGTTATCGATTTTATTGATCACAAGTTCTCTACTCTTATAAAAAGTGAATACAATTTATGCATAAATTAAATGAAACACAAACTCATAATATTTTTCATTTGCATTATTGTATTCAAAATGTCTAAAATGTTGTGCAAATTATTTTAATGTGAAATAAACTCACAATAATTTATATAATTTGATAAATAGCAAATCAAATGCAAAAGTGTTTTGATTTATTAGACTTCTATAAGAATAATGAATTAATCAAAAATAATTAACGACAACAAAATGATTAAAAGAATCTGTTTCTCGGATGCAGTGCTAAACCCAACGGCTCCGGAAGACTCGTCATCGGATGAGCCATTATTTGAAGAGCCGGTGGCGCCGACCCTCTCGTTGGGTGAGAGGATAGCATGGGTTAAGACATCGGGTCCTGAGTTCGGCGCCGTTCGATGGATCGGACGAATGCCACAAATCACTACTGATTGGACGGTCGGAGTAGAGTTTGTAAGAGATTTTCACATATATTTTACAATTCAATGATTGATTGATTAACGATATAATGTCCATAAATAAGGACAACTGTATCGGCTCGGGTGACGGCACTGTCGACGGGCGCCGGTATTTTGTGGCCAAAGAAAATTTTGCTAAATTCCTTCCGCTCTCATCACTCACTAAAGTGGATAACTACGCCGGACGACCACGTTCTGGTAGGCAGTGGTTCTAGTTTTTAATATTAAAATCAATTTTTAAGTTAATTTAATTATAAGTATATTTTTTTAAAATGACTTTTTTATGGAAATCAAATTTTTTAAAATTTAAGAATAAAATAGCAATTTTGACAAACAATTGGTAAAACAGTTGTTCTGTAGTTAGAAATCAATTGATTTTTTTGCAGTCAATTTCCTCTCTTTTTTGATATTTTAACTCAACTTTTATTTCAAAAGACTTTAAATCCTGACTTATGTTTTTGTTATAATTTTTACATTTGATATAAAAAGTGAATCAATAGCAAGAGCGGAAAGATTCGAGAGAGAGAGAGAGAGAGAGAGAGAGAGATTTAGTGTTTTATTGATTAAAGAGTTGAGATATTTTGCGGAAAAACAGCTTTCATTTGATTTTAATTAAAATAACACGACTTTAAAAGACAGAGAAAATCGATTGAATTGTTTAAAATTATTCTCATTTAAAACGAAACTTTTTTTATACTGAAAAGACATTTAATTGAATTAAACGATTTGCAAAAACAATATTTATTTTGAAGACTCGCTTAAATGATTGGTCTAATGAAATGTAAATTGAATTATAGGGACGATGTTATCGCGGATGTCAGTGCAGCTGAAACCGGGTCAACTGATTAGCATTCAGCGATCACCGAGTGTTGTGGTACAGCACTGCTCTCTCAACGCTCCCCATCACGTAAGTCCCACTCATCCCTCATCCCAACCACACTATCATCACATTTCTTCGTAAATCACTCCCACATATTGTTTCACCGATTGTTTGCCATTTGTATTGTTCGACAAATAAATTGCATTTTATCTCTCAATTCATTTCACATATTTTGGTATTTATTTAATTCTTATTGTTTATGGAAATTGTATTATCATTTGTTTGCCACTTCTTTGACAATTTCCAGTCACAATCAAAGCAATTGCTATTTAAAAATCCCAAATGAAATGCATGTCACGTCTTGAATGTGTTGAATGGCATGAAAATCGCAGAATTGATTCATAAATAGTAATCATTTTTTTGCACGAATTTTAATAACTGATTTTGTGTCAATCAATTGGCGATGAAATCAATAGAAATGAGCAATTATTGATTGGAAATGCAATGCATTAATAGGTGGGCCATGACGTGCACGCCACTAATCTGAAGCACTGCCAGTGCTCCAGTTGTAACCACCCGTGCGCTCATCTCTGCAAGACTACCAAACCTAAGGGCAAAAGCCGGTGGAAGGATCCGGGATTGGCTCATATGTGCCACTTCTCCAGTAAACCGCATAATAAGATGTGTTGCGGCGGCGAAGACCTGGCCTGCGCTACGAGACCGTTGACGGCTCCGGGAAGTAGTTGGATGCACGCGCCCGACATCGAGCCCTCATTCAAAACAGTGTCGATGGCAACCGAGTCTATGCCTCGACGCAAGTCAGTCACCATTTATGACGAGCGCAACGCCGTCTCCGCGCCCACAAGTGTTGAACGAAAAGTGAATTCTTCGCCACTGAATGCGGCCATCAATCTGAAGGAACGGCGCGGAAGCGATCTCTCCATATCGAGTCTGCCGTCGAGCGGTTCCCCTCAGGTCTATATACGGAGGGGAGTCCTCACCGATGAGTCCGACTTTGACAGCGACACAGATCGCAGTTATTCGCCAGCGTTTGGCCGCTCAGGAATGGCCGGTCTTCGCTCACTCGTCGCCTGTTTTGCAAACAACTCGTCATCTCTTCGCGAAAAGAAGAATATAAAAGATAGACGAAAACGAAAACTACGAAAACATAAGAAGCGTTCAAAAACTTTGTCATCAAATGAAAGAAGGCATCGAAGAGGTCTCAGCTCTGACACCAGTTATGACTGCGAGACCACACATAACAGTCAGAATCAGACCTCAAGTCTTATGTCAAACATTTCGTCGCCAAAAACGCGCACAAATGCCAGTCCTGTAGAGCACAAGTCGACGTCAATGTCTCCCAAAAAAACGACCGCTCATTCGCCTAATGAAGACCAGAAACCGGTGAAAGAGAGACAAATATCTGGTGCTATCATTGAGGAAGAGTTGTCCAAATCGTTTGAAACGCATAGACATCGCGTGGACGACGACATCATCTCCGAAGGAAATGAAGGTCAGGACGGCTGCACAAGTAGTAGCAAAAGTAGTGGTCATTTAATTACAACTAAAGCTGATATTGAATCGACTCAAAACACTAGATCCCTGTCCTCGCACTCAAACCTCAGCGATAGTGTGTCGCCGCGCAGACGCAAGAAAACACCGGCACCGCCACCGCCGCCGACATCCTCCACAAGTCCGACATCACTAAACCTGTCCGTCTCGTCCGCATCCCTTCCCCAAACACCCACTCATTCAACAACCACTACATCCGCGTCCGGTCATCGGCGTCGGGCCTCCTATAAGAAGAACCCGGCGCCGACTCCACCTAATCTGACCCGATCTCTGTCCGAACAAAAGCAGCTAAACCTCAAGAATCTGATTAACGCCGTTCCCTCCTTCAGGAGTGAAGTCGACTTACAGGGAGTCTCGCGAAAGTCATCCCCATTTGGCGATAGCATAGAAAGGGATGAAATGCTTTCATTGAATTCAATCGACATTAAAGATGAAGTGCCTGTCGATAGTGACCGCCAACGGGCGACCAAAGTCGATGTCTCGACTCAAGTGACGCTTGAAAATGATTATTACGAAGAAATTGATTTCACGCCAAAAGTGAAAGTTTGTAATAACGGCACGAATTGTTGCGCGAAACCAGATTTGCCTCAAAAAACATTTGATGTCATTTCGACATTTGGTTGTGAATTGAATACGAAATACAATCCTCCAAATGGTTGTCGAGAAAACTCTCATTCATTGACTAAAAGTTATTCATTGCCTTCAAATAAGAAACGAAATACCAATCAAAAAGCCATCAACTCTTGCGGTCAGAGATTTTCCAGTGATTTAAACGCTTTGTTAAGCCCTCAACACATCCTTAAAGCGAAAGCCGATTCGCTTATGAGGGGTCTGTCGGACGGGTCGGTCAGCAGCACAGCGACAGTCATTGAGTTTATTAATACATTAACCGATTTGGAGACACAAATGAACTCAACTGATGGCCAATCGCTTAAAAACTCTTCGGTTAAGACGAGTGATTCGTTAATTGATATCTCATTAGACAATACAAGTGACGACACAATTACCGTTAAATCAATGTCATCCAAATGGAGACATTCTTCCAGTTCTGTCGACAGCTTCAGTGATAGTCTTTTGAGCTCTAAATTTAATGAATCCTATTCTTCATTAAACACTACTATTGAACGCAAAAACAAAACTAAGACTACAAATGATCGCTTCCAAGCGACCGGTGCTCCCAATAATCTGTACAGCAGTGCTTCGGAACAATCGCTGTCATCGATGTCCTCTTCATCGACACTGTCTTACGCGCCAACAATTGGGTCTTCGAGTTCCACACCGACTCCACTCACACCCAAACCATACCGGGAGCTAATGTTAGCCAACTCTGGCAATCATCCCAATCACTGCACACATCCCCTCCCAAAACCTCGATCTAAAAATAAGTCCCAAAATGAGAGAACTTCAGTGAAGTCATCGGATCCGTGCATTAATGACTCCATACATAAGTCATTCAACAACAATATAGAGTCAATCACTCAAAGGGATATGTATTCAAATTCAGGTAATGTCTCGGAATCTGATTTCCTATTCATTAAATTCTATGAACCCTTAATCCAAAATATCACTAAATTTATATTTATTCACAATTAATTCAAAGGTCTGTCGCTTTTGAATCATAAGAAATACAATAATCTAATGGCAGACGAGGCGAGAGTCGCACAGATAATGGAACAGTTGGAAGTGGCCATCGCTTACGGGCAACACAAACGTGCGGCCGTTTTAGCCAAGGAGTTGGCCATTAGAAAAGTAGCATGCACACTTAATAGATCTGGCATTCAAAATAATAACAATAATAACACGTCTCCCATTATGTGAGCTTTGAATTGTTGATATGATTAACAAATTCTAATTATTAAATATATTATTTAGCGCTTATCTATACATTGAGGACCGATACACCCATAAGGGTCCGATTCCCTTCCAAGTGTATCCATCGATGTCCTTAAATATGCTTAAATTAAAAGTATGTCCGCAAATGTATTACTGTTTTTGTGATATAAACTTATTGTTTAAAACTTTGCGTTAAATCATAGATTGAGAAAGAATTCAATATTCCGACTGAAATGCAGAAATGGATTTTAGGCAAAACGTTGGCCACAAATCTGAGCGCATCGTTAGCCACATATGGCATAACGTGTTCCGGTTGTCCCATATTTTTATATTTGTTACCCGAAGAACCCAAACATGAAATGAATTTGGAAATTCCTCAAAACGAAACGCCGGCAGTGAATGACCAGTGGTTTCCCAATGATATTCCGGAACCAATTTTGGATAACAATCTGGAAACGATTCCTTTGATGCCCGAAACCAGTGATATTATCGATGCATTTGATTTACAATCAATTAATAATGTGATCCCTGAAGAGGAAGACTCGGAGAAAGTGATGCCAAGACAGCAGTACTTCGAGTTAGTCGAGTTGGACGACGTTAAGTGTGTCACTAATAGCGAGCCCTTTGAATGTCCCGTTTGTTTCGTCGACATCGGTGTCGGCGAAGGCATTGTTTTGCGCGACTGTTTGCACACATTTTGCAAGTAATAAATCTATTTTAGCCATTAATAAACAAATGGTTTGCTAATAAACAAATTGTTTACGCTGTTTACCCATTACTAGGTATTGTCTGTTGAGTGCCGTTCAGTACAATACAGAAGTGGAGGTGAAGTGTCCGTTTAGGAACAGTGAGTACTCGTGCGACAGTCGTATGCAAGACAGGGAAGTGAAAGAAGTGGTGCCCATAGATGTGTACGAAAGGTATCTCCAGAAGAGCATATCGACCGCCGAAAGCAAGATTGAGAAGTCCTTCCACTGCAAGACAGTTGACTGTTGCGGTTGGTGTGAGTTCGACGACAACGTCAATGTCTTCCGGTGTCCCGTTTGTCGTCACGAGAACTGCATTAACTGTCAGTCCATACACGAGGGCATCAATTGTAAGCAATTTCAGGATCAGCTCGAGTTCAACGCCGCCCAAAACGAAGACGCGATGAAGACTAAAGAATTCATTGATGTATTGTTTGCTATTTTAGTGTTTGCTGTTGTGTTGCTTGCAATTGAGACCTCAATAGTCTAACTCCTGTTTAATTTAAAAACCAGAATATGCTTCACAGGGAAGAGGCCTTACGTTGTCCTCAATGTCAAGTAGTTTTGCTCAAGAAATGGGGCTGTGATTGGTTTGTCTTTATTTAATTGTTTTTAATACAAGTCTTAAATTTAAATGATGGATAATTGAGACTAATTTTAATTGAATTTTTGTTGTATTTAATTTTAGGGTTAAGTGCTCGATGTGTGAAACAGAAATTTGTTGGGTCACCAAAGGGTTCCGTTGGGGACCAAAGGTTGGTATTTTATATCCACGATTAACAAAAGTTATAACAATATAAATGCTTTTTATGGTGGTTAGGGTCGGGGCGACACATCGGGTGGCTGTCGATGTAATGTGAAAGGCGTTAGATGTCATCCCAATTGCAAATATTGCCATTAAATGCAAATGATTTGAGATATTCTGGTAATTATTTGACTGTATTTTACATATACTGTTACTTATCATTATCTTAACTATAAAATAAAATAATTTTATTTTTAGAAAAATTATCATTAATTTGAGTTTTTAAAAAATAAGAAAACTTTATACTGAAAGCAAAAGTTTTATAATAAGTGCACATAAATATTAATATATAGTAAATGTAAAACTTTTAATACTGTATTATTATCATTGATAAGAATGAATTACAAGTATATTATCTAAAAGATATTTAATATTCACATATTCTATGCTTAATATCATTATTGGAGTTATAATTTCTTATCGCATTAAATGAAATACAATATTTAAATTTTCTCCTTATTATCATAGAGTATAATAAATATAGCATTCAATTCGTTAGTAACAAAGTTATCATTTAGTGGAGTGAACATCAAATGAACCAATTTTCACGGTTAAGGCCAAAGTATAGGATATATTCAATGATAAGATATACTGTAAGCTAGGATTTGATTACATAATTTGTACTATTTTTCATTTCCTTAAACAGACTTTAATACTCGTAATTACATAATGTATTTTTGACTGATTATAACTTTATTCATTTATAGCGTCCTTCAGAACAATTGTTTCCACACTCACGAGGAATACAGAAAAGACAATTTCATAGTTTGGTCTCTTCTTATCCATACTTTTTGCCCAAACAAACAAATAATGTCAACAAATACTAAGCATCAGTTCGCCAAATAATACTTTTTCCTTAAAAATAATTATCTAAATATATTTCCAATTCTCTTAACTTATATTATTTTGTGAAATATTTATAAATATCTAATATTTAGCATAAAATACTGATTATAAAAGCGATTATTTAGGAAATTGAATCAACAAAAGTTAAAACAATACTTATTATATACAATAGAATCTCGAATTAATAGATAATATTAATATTTCATAATTAATTAAATATTAGATTAATGTTGACATAATTAAAAGTTATTGAAATTTTAGGATTAGATGATACACAGTATGAGAATTGAACGGACTTTTGTTTAGTTGAAAATTGTTTATTGTTATATGATTTTAATTGTGATAAATATATGTTAATCTTATAATAGTTAATAATTACACTACCATTATGATTTTATAATGTACCAATATTTGGTATAATAATTAGACAAACGATGCAAATGTTATTATATAATACTGTTAATGATATAAGTTTTCTTTTCTATGTTTAAGAAATTTGTTTTCAACCAAAATATAATATATATTTATTGAATCAATTATATATTCGACTGATCGGTGCCTTTAAGTCTAATACATCTTATGTTTAATTAAAATATTTTAAAATTCAATGCATTGAAAAGAAAACAAAATCATAATTAATACAAACTTTACTTTATATCACAAATTCTGTATTGACGCTACGGATCGAGTAATCAATGCATTAATTGATGTAAAATAACAACTTTTTATAGATTAAAATAAATTGTCTTTAATTTTTAAACTTATTTATTTTTACAAAATAATACTACAGTTATATAATTATTAATTAATGGTAAGTTATAACTTTTAAAGGGCATTTCAACTTCAACTCGTGCATTAATGTTCAATATGTGCTAATGTTGCTCACATCAGGTTATAACTAATAGGTATTACTAATTATATTAGATATCTAACAGTAAAACCAATAATTAATAGAAAATTGGGACAAAATAATGTATTATTTTTACTGATATTTTCTTAGTATCTAAAGAATAATATTATTGTAAACAAAAAAGTAAAGTATTTTTGCAATATTTATTTGATTGAAGAGAAAATAATAGAAATAAGTGAAGAGACATATATTTTCTCTCTCTCTCTCTCTCTCTCTCTCTCTCTCTCTCCATCCCATCCCATCTCCTCTCAAATGTTTGCAAATTCTTTGCAAAATTATAATTCATTAAAAAGTTTACTTCAATTATATTTTGTTTGTTTTTATAGCTATTGTTTCCCAGAATTGAACCCAAGAATCCTTGCAATTGAAACCTCACATGAATTTCATCTCACTTTCCAAACAAACATTTAGCACAAGAATTCTTCTAAATATAATTCTTCAATAAATCCTATTCTTTATATTCCGACGACTTTTAACTCTTTAATTAACACACAATTTGCTTAATATTATAACAAATCATTTCTCAGTATATAAATCTTATTTTGAATATACTTTTAATGCGAATTTAATAATAAAATATTATATATTTGGCAAACATTGTATGTAAGTGTTGTGTTGCCAATTATATACGAGTTATTAACACAAAACCTGTTCTCATATTTTATTTTAAAATTTAATTTTTGTTTGTTTGCGGAATGATGTGATGTCTGTCTAAATGACTTATACTGTATCGGAAGTAACAAAAAGTTTAAATAACAGTCTAATTAATTTGGGTTTCATTAAAAACGAGAAAAACTACTCAATGAATCACTTTCTCTCTCTCTCTCTCTCTCTCTCTCTCTCCTAGAATTGTAAACAACACAAGGTTTTGAGAGAAACATAAGAATTCATGAATAGAGAGGTAATGAAAAAACTCGTGTTAAGTCAAGAATTAAATTACATAATGAATCTCTTAATGCTTTTTTGTGTTTTGTTTTAAATTTATAAAAACCCTTATCTTTACGATCAATGAATTACTGTTAAGAGTTTGAAACATATAAAATAGATATAATATCGGGTTTTAGATTAATTTGTTTTTACTTTTTTGTCAAATGTGTTCATTGTTTTTACGGATAATATAAATGAATTCCGATATAAATTTGAATATAAATATTTATAACAAAAAATCTCTAATCCATGCAATAAATCAATTTATAATTCCTTATCCATAGACCTTGATATTCACTCAATGATTATGTCCTAAAATATAACATCAAATCAAATATTTTTCTTAATAATTAATTAAATGTGATTATTTTATCAACAATTTTTGATACAAATATTTGTTTATATTTTTAACTAAACAAATAAAAAGTAATATATTGTAGAACTAACTAAACATTTTTCAAATACACTTAACTTTGTTTTCATTCATTAAATTTCAAACTTGTGTCCATTTGAAAGTACAATTCCTGTTCCCTTATGTCTGTCCTCTCCAAACAAAATGTAAAAATACAAATGTTTTATAAAAATATATAAAAGGCTGACGAGAGAAGACTTTTTCTGGACTTTTGTGTTTAATCAGAGAGAAAATAGATTTGAGTGATTACTTGAGTATAGTTGGGCTCACGTAAGGGTACTTTTCATATACATTTATATCAGAGTATTATTTTGGTTACCAAAAGAATATACATTGAAATTATTTTCAATAAACAAAACTATTTTATCAGTTGAATGGAAAACAGAAGAACTCATATCTATTGATATTAGTTTTCTGGTATCGGAATAATCGCCTCCAGGTATGAATGGACGACAATATACGGTATATGTTATGGTAAATGGTATCGAAACTGAAGTTTTTATTAATAATTGAAAGTTTAAACTCAAGTGCAATTGATATTATGTTATTCCGGAATATTTAGAGAGAGAGAGAGAGAGAGAGAGAGAGAGAGAGATTTCTCTGTACGGCGCTCATCAGTGAAAACCAGCCGTTGTTTTATCGATGATTTTATTTCTCTTTCTTTCGTGTTTCACAACACATAACATATTGTAATAATATTTATGAATTATAATTATTCAAAGATGTGAATATCATTTAGGCTTCAAATTGTGTTAGTGTTTAGATATGATTAGAGGAGAGAAACACGTACTCTATTTGGCGAACATGTCTTACCTTAGGAACAGTCTTTGAACCGAAATTATTATGCAATGAATTTATCCATCATTTGATTAATTCATTTTGTAATTCAATACTCAATTCACTTTCAATGCTATCTTAAGTGAACTTTCATTTGAAAAATTACAATTTTAAATACTATTTAAAGTTACTCAATAGTTAAGTATAGATGTGTTTATTTAAATCAACTTTTTTTTATAAAATCTTTATTCTTATTATAACTAAACTAAAGGAATTAAGTTTTTAAATCCCGAGATAAACAATATATAAATACTATAAGAATTGAGTTATAATAGCAATAAAAAACAACAATATTTTGATGTGATATATCTCTTCATAAAGTCCTAAAAATTATGAAAACAGTTAAGATTAATAGAAACAAAAAGATTTTTATAGCCAGAGATTATGGTGTAAGATAGTGAAGACACAAACATGTAATACTTATATCCCAATGAGATTAAAATAGGCATTTATTATTTATGAATTATAATTATTCAAAGATGTGAATATCATTTAGGCTTCAAATTGTGTTAGTGTTTAGATATGATTAGAGGAGAGAAACACGTACTCTATTTGGCGAACATGTCTTACCTTAGGAACACTCTTTGAACCGAAATTATTATGCAATGAATTTATCCATCATTTGATTAATTCATTTTGTAATTTAATACTCAATTCACTCTCAATGCTATCTTAAGTGAACTTTCATTTGAAAAATTACAATTTTAAATACTATTTAAAAGTTACTCAATAGTTAAGTATAAATGTGTTTATTTAAATCAACTTTTTCATAAAATCTTTATTCTTATTAAATAACTAAAGGAATTAACTTTTTAAATCCCGAGATAAACAATATATAAATACTATAAGAATTGAGTTATAATAGCAATAAAAAACAACAATATTTTGATGTAATATATCTCGTCATAAAGTCCTAAAAAATTATGAAAACAGTTAAGATTAATAGAAACAAAAAGATTTTTATAGCCAGAGATTATGGTGTAAGATAGTGAAGACACAAACATGTAATACTTATATCCCAATGAGATTAAAATAGGCATTTATAAAAATTATGAAAACAGTTAAGATTAATAGAAACAAAAAGATTTTTATAGCCAGAGATTATGGTGTAAGATAGTGAAGACACAAACATGTAATACTTATATCCCAATGAGATTAAAATAGGCATTTATTACAACATATAATAACTTGCAGTGAGTGTTGAGCAGTGAGTAATACATGGGATGAAGGATTGAGGTTATCTGACGATAAAGTCTATTGTATTACACAAAGCATTGATTCAAATTGTAATATAATAGTGGAGACAAAAACTCCATTTATTTGAAGAGTAATATAGTTATGATATTAAGGAGAAGAGAAGGGACCGGATGTTAACGCATACGATAGAAGACACTGTAGTATAAGAGTTAGTCCAGTAGTGTTAGTAGTGTTAGTCAGGTCTGGGGAGGTCTTTAGATACTGGATCTCTTGAGCCGATCATAAAAAAGCACATATTCTATGCCTCAATAAACTGAACAATATGTGACTTATATGTGACGACGATATGAGTATATGATATGACAATACATAACTAAAATCTGCGGAAACTCCGCTCACAATACCAGTGCAATCAGTCGTAACAACATTGAGAACATTGAGAGATATATATAGATAGAGAGTGAAGAGTAGGGAATGGGATGAGGGATGGGATGAGACAAACGAATTGATAGCTATAAGAATCACTATTCCAATGAGTCCTTTCACTTGCAATCACTCAAACCTAAAACACGATAATGTGATCAGATTTATGCCATTCCTCTACTTATATACAGAGAAGTGAATAAAGATAATAAAAGAGAAGTTAGTTTATTTATAACGTTTTTATGAAATGAAAAAACAAATGTTATTATAATAAGAAATCTATGATTCTTTTATAGTCATTTTT